CTGCAGCATCTTGCCAGGAAAAGTGTGGACAGTTGAAGGGACCCGTGATGTTCCATTCCCACTCTCCTCTAATGAGAGCCTCTGACTTTCACTGGGGACATTCTTTGTTGTTGGATTTCCTGTTGCATGGGAGTAACACCCACAGGAGTTGTAAGAACTAGCTGATATAACATCCCAAGCCACCCCATCACTTGCCTAAAGGAAAGAAACCCATTTAACCACACCTTACTCCTTAGAACGCCTTTGTTTGTCTTGTGTTGCCATGTAAACCCTGCGTGTGCATTGTAAGCAAACTTCGTTTGCTCCATGAGACCCAAAAATAAATAAATGCTTTATGATCTTACCTAAGACAGGTTTGTCTTTTTTCTTTTCTTCCTGAATGTTATGCACACAGTTATTGAGGACTTTGGATCTTGGTATAGCATGAGCTGAAGCTAGCCTGACTTCACCCTTAGGCTCTTCCAGTCTACAGCCTGCATGGGGCTGGCTGATGCACTCAGTATTTGTAAAATCACGAAATTCACAGTGTCTTCATTCTTTTCCTCCCCTCCCTCCCTCCATCCTTCCTTTCTTTCTGTCCTTTGAGCTTCTGTTGTCTTTCCAATATGGCATGCCATTTTTCTTCTTTTCTGGAATATGGAAAAGAGAGGATTTTTCGGCCCTTTTAGATTGAGGAGTGGGGGCTGTGTAATCACTGTAATCATTTTCCTGAAAGTGATTTTGCCATTAACTTTTCTTCTTCTCTCCCCATAGAAGTAGAAACATATTTTACAGAACTATGTTTAGTTTAATTTAAACATCCTTTCATGAACAGACCAAGTTCTTTAAGGGCATTTATTCTGCTTCATATAAATAATTGATCAGCCAAGTTAATTTACTTCTGCCTGACTTGGTCAACCTTAATTAACTGCCCTGGAATCAAGACTGAACTTTTTGTTAGCTTAAAATCTTTCACAAGCATGATAACAAGGGCTTTATTTTCCCTAAATTTTCAGCATCAACACTGTAACCAAGGAAATAATCATCATAATAAAGTTCTGCTTTAATTTACTATAAATACATTGGCCTGGACATTATGAATTTTCCAGAATACTTCCAGAGAGCCGTTCTGTTGGCAACGACAATAAATAAGCATGTGAAACTCGGTTTTAATTCTTTTCTACAAGTCCCTCCAGCACAAAAATCGATCCTTTGAATTCAGTAGCTCTTGTAATGTTCCCAAGCAAGATGAGAAAGAAGTAGGCCATTTCAACTTCCTTAAGCTTTTGCATATCTTTGTATTTGCAGCACCAGCCTTTGGAGGATGGTGTTGAGTGAATCCTGTGATCAACAGTCACCACTCATTTGGAGGGCACGTAAGGGAAGGCAGAGGAAAGCTTGTCCTTGTTTTTGGAGAACAGACTGGTTAGTGGGTATCATATGGCTGTGCCCTCTTAGTGCCATGCTGTCATTTCAAGCACTTCAATCTTGGTCTTAATTTATCAGGGAACAAGATGGGTCTTTGGATATGGGGAATCCCAGTGGGAAACAGAGGTGCTGAACCTGAGTGCCTAGGACAAGCTTCCCTGAGAAGAGAGGATGCAGCACTCTGTAGAGAAGACAGATGCTTCTCCTGGCTATTGGTCTGCTCTCAGTGGACTCTAACAGTGTAAAACTCAATAGAGAAAGACACAGCCAGTTGTTTCCTCAAGAGTGCTGGTGCTTTCCATCCTTTGTTCACCTGCCACCGGTGTTGCTGTGCTTTCTGGAAGTTACTTAGTTTTCTTTTTACTGATTTAGTCATTCGCCGCTTAGCCAAAGACTTTTTGAACTGGAAAGTCATTTATTGAGTGAATTTATTGGACAAGTCCATGTCTGAAACGGAGAATAGTTATGGTGGCATCTATACCCTAATTGATTGAGCTTGAATTTCTTGTCTGTAAAATGGGATTACCTTTACTGGCCTCATCTCCCTCCTTTGGCCTTTGTTAGTAGAGTTCAAGAAATATATCAGAGGGTCTTTACATCCAGAAATGAAAACTTATTAAATGACTTGGGGTGTGTGATAGAAGTCCCAGACACTGTTTAAAATGTTTTTACACATTGACACTCTGCATTTTTCACCTGTGTTTTTTCAAACAGCTGTTTTCTCCTGATTGGTGTGAGAGATTATGGGAAATTTAAAATCTTCCCACCTAAATACTATTGTTAACACTTGACTAATTAAGGACATTCTGAGACCAAAATAATCCTTTATGCAATTTTGGTCACAAAGCCTGCACTCTCACAAACCTGATTCACAAGCTGAGCTGCTTGGCTCCATGCCTGCCAAACTTTCACCAGAGGACTTGACAGTCTTCTTTGGAACTGCGTGGAGCTAAACAGAGCCTTCTCGTGGAACTGTGCACGGGACATTGTTCTTCCTCCATCCACCAGGATGGTGTCAAACCCAGGAAGCAAAAGCAGTGCCATCTCTTACTCACCTGCTCTCAGGTCTGAGATCCCTGTGGTCACATGGTCTGGAGGTAGCATTCTTTCTGCACTGCTGTGCCACCAAGGCAGAATAGATGTCCCCACTCTGAGGCAGGTGTAGAGTTCACGTATGGCATTGGTTTTGTCTGTTGAGCGTCCAGGCACCAACATGGATAGACTCCAAAAGATGAAAAATAAGTCTGTTTTATTAGGTATGCTTGCAACATGAGTAATAATTAAATGGGTTTCCTTTCTAACTGCCCTGATACAATTCTCTTTTAAGTCTAAACGCTGTATAAATGGGCAAATGTATGCAAGAGATACTGAAACACTGGGGGGAAATACCTAGGTTTCACAAACTGATACCTTTTTGGGAGATGAACAGGATATTTTCTTGTAGCATACCTTGAGGTCTTTTCTTTTTGTTTTTTGTTTTTTGATAGATTCTTTACTCTCTGACCAGTAAGGATATGAATGTGTCTGATCTAAAGAGTTGAGTGAATCAGCTGCTGTTTCTGAATTCATTCCCACCTGTTAACAAAAAATGCCATTCTTACTCTGCTTCAGAATTGGATTAAGTTAAGAAAATATGTCTTTGGGTTTGTGAAGTCTGTGTTCAAGTTGCATCATACTATATACTGAAAGGAAATGAAGAAAGATGTGATTTTTTTCCCCTTTGATTCTTCCATTTGGGATTTGTGCAAGTCTGCAGAAAACAGACTTAAGCTAGTTTTTAACAAAAAGGGCAACCTCCTGTAAAGATACCAGTGTTTAAATTTTTCTGTTGACACATATTTCATGTTAGGAGCAGAAATATGTAGCATTCATTGTATGTCCGTCTGTCTATGATTGGAACAAATTTGTATAAAGAGTTCTTGTCCTTTTATCTAGGATTGGTATTTCACATTAAAGTCTTAATTATTCAGGCATTTCTGAGCTTTGATGTTTGAACTGTCAGCTTCCTTTAGTGACTCTTGTTTTTCCTTTCCAAGTCCCAGTCTGTGAACTTGGACTGTGACCCTGCCATTTCTATTGTTTTGCTCCCACTGCACCTTAACCTTAAGTACACATGCGCTGTTTAAAAGCTTGGCCATCACAGTAGCCTGGTTCAGGTCCTGACTCCACCATGGCCAGTGAACAAATTAAAACCGCTCCCTTGGAGCCTTGGTTTTCTGATCTGCAGATGGGAGCTGCAATCATCATTAGAACTAAGAGGATGCATGCAAGTCGCCTGTGTTCCGGTGGGCGCGACAGTGGGATCCATCCTTAGTAGCAGTTGATATCAACACATATTATCTGTCTTGTGTCGTATGTGCGCACCTTAATTGAGCCAAGAGCTAAATTGGCTCCCTGGGATAATGGCCTTGTGCCCAGAGAGTAACAAGAATGAATAGTGTGTGGTACCACTCTGCTGTAATCCCAGCATCTGGGAGGCTGAGGCAGAAAGATCGTAAGTTCAAGGCCAGCTTGGACTACTTAGGAGGACCCTGTCTCAGACAGACAGACAGACACATACCACACACACACACACACACACACACACACACAAATGAAATAACATAGATATTCTCTGTTCTTTGTGTGCTTATATATTTTTTTTCTTGTAGACATTTAGTTCTTTTTCCCTCCATGCTGCGGATTGAGCCCAGGGCCTTCCGTGTGTTGGGCAAAACACTGCCTCTTAAGCTATGTACCCGGCCCACCATTTAGTATTTTAAAATTCAGGCCTTTTCTTAAGTCTGCCTGTGCAAGATTTTTCTCCAGAATGAGGCGTAATAGCATCGCCCAGAATGTTCAGGCCTTCTACCACAGGAGAGATCAGTGACCCTTCACAGGAAACACCCAGCTTCGAATGGGGGTTCTCAGGACAGTTTTTACCTATTAAACAAAGATCGTATTCTGATTTTGTTTTAGCTTCAGAAAAATGGAAACTTTTTCTTTTCCCTTCTCGCTTTGTACAAGTGGCCTATCTTACTGGAGTGGCCAATTTTGAGGTATTTCAATACCTGAATGACTTCAAGGAGTCTTAAGTCCTTAAAACGCTTTTGGTATTTGACTGTGAGGTTTTCTAGCACAAACTACCTTAGGGGGTCTCCTGGAAATGTTTGTCATCTCTTGGTAGGCTGAGGTTGGAGACTAGTTCTTCTCTAAGAGCCTAGTGTCACCGTGCAGTACCCGTACACATTAAAATTTAATGTTGCCTCCCACAGGGTGTTGGCTGACTGTGTTTTGAGCATAACATCCAGATGTAAATCAGAGAAATTAGTACGAAATTCCAGGCTTCCACAAACATATTTACTTCTCCTAAGGGGAAAGGGTAACACGTTTAAAGCAATACTGAAACTTGTGTTGGGACCGACATTTCCCTATTCCTACACTAGGGGACTGTTGCACACAGGGAGGAATCAGAGTGAAAGAAAATGACAACTGTGGAGAAAGTTAGGGAACATTTAAAGCAGACCCCCTTATTCCTTGTGAACAACAACTGTTTTAACAGCTGCTTTTTTTCCTCTTCTTCCCTCCACCCCTCCCAAAAACCCTTATATCAGGTTTTTGAGTCATGATGCAAGAATCTGGGACTGAGACAAAAAGTAACGGGTCAGCCATCCAGAATGGGTCGAGCAGCGGCAACCACCTGCTAGAGTGTGGCACTCTTCGGGAGGCGAGGTCCAACGGGGAGGCGCCGGCCGTGGACTTGGGCGCTGCTGACCTCACCCACGTGCAGCAGCAGCAGCAGCAGCAGCAGGTACAGGCCTGGGAGGTAGACAGTGGGTGCGAATTTCACCACATACTTTTACACTCAATCACTGACCCTGTTTTGTGCACACCTGTCTTGAGTAGTGGGAAGCAGCATCTTAGCCACTTGTCCTTCTGGGGTCACAGTGGCTGTCTTTAGAGACAAATTTCAAAACCTTGGGAAATGGAAGTCTTGAAAAGCCCTTCTTAGGAGTGGTTGTTGAGATGTAAGGTTGAGTGGATTTTGGATCACTCCTTCCTAGCCTGTAATGTGTCACCTACCGTTTTCAGGTTTTGAATAAAATTACTTTTTGGAGAAATGGTTCCTAATGTGTTATTTAAGTAACAATGAAATAAAATACCACTTAAAAAAAAAGAGCCTTATGAAGAAAGAGTCAGAGATGAGAGAGAAGAGAGAGAAATGAGGGTGGCAAGTGAGACTAAATGAGCAGGGAGAATTGAAGGAAATAGAAATATAGCCAGAATTACTTGGTTCAATAACTAGCTTGTGTTTATAACACAGGCATCAGTTTGGGAAATTACTTTATCCTACCTGTAGGAATTATGGAGTAAGATATTGGGTATTTACATGTATTTCTTGTAGTCCTATGGAAGATTGTATATGACTAAATCTTTCTGGTGTTTTAATTTGTCTCCTACTGGTGCTTCTTAAAAATGCCCATAAGTTGGGACATTCTCATTCCTGTTATACTCTTCCAGGTATTGTAAGTAGTTACCTGTGAGTGGCTGATAAAATATTTCCAAATCGTAAAGGTGACCCAAGACATTGTGTTGTGTTGGCGAAGTGCTGACAACAATTCAAGTGTAAATAGCATTTTCTTGAAAGTTGGCTTTGGCTTCCCAGACTCTGTTGGAATCAGGAAATATTTTTGTTACTGAAAATGAATGGTGGTCATTGCAGTTTTGTCCTTGATTTATGTATTTAGTTCATAGTTATGGTGCCATTTAGAATCAGGTGAATAAAAATCAAAAGAATGAAGTATATTCAGGCTGTTTTGAAAGATACAGAAATTGTTGGGGGATAAGATAAGAGAAAGATAAACTATCTCTCAAATGAATTTCTTGGACTATATCAGAGAAACTAAGGAAAATCCTTCTTATGGTAGGCATGTAGTTTTAGACTGCCTCTAACACATGTTTCATGTTCTCTTTGCTAAGAGATTTTTAAAATATGAGGAGTCATTAGATTGTGAGTCCATTCCAAGTTGGTAGAACCAACATGAGACTAAAGCCTGTTGGGAGAAAATGTAAGAAAGAGAAAGCCAGAGAAACTAACAGATAAGCCAAGGTTTAATGCAGAGGGCATCCTATGAGTGACTTGGTCTCTCACTGTCACCCCCAACCATTGGTACCTGCACCTCAGGCATCACATTAGCTGGAATTTACATTGCTTGGTACGTATTAATTTTATGTATTTAAGTGATTGCCAATGGCCAAATTCTAACCAAGTTGTTAGCAAGTCCTAGCAGTAAATAGTAGAAGGGTATTTGTACTAACATACATTTATGATATTCTTAGCTATTTATGGTTATATAAATAGCTGGTATTTTTACGGTACCATTTTCTATGCCATTACAAGACAAAGATCAAAATCAATTATTTCTTTATGGAGCAGTTGAGGTGGGGTTATTGACTTTTATGTTATGAATCCCAAGTAATTAGTATTTTGACTATATTAATTAAATTGAACTGACCATCTTTTGAATTTTGTCTGATGAAATGGCAGAACATTCAGGGTACCAAAGTAGTTGGCTAGCCAATGAACTTTATATACACTGAGTACCACAGCATATGCACAAAACACCGTATCTGCAGTAACAAATTGATGTATTAAGAAAGTTATAAATGTACATTTCAATAGCATCTTCCTTAAAAATTAGCAGTAGCAGAATTAGTTATCTATATCTTTCTTTGTTTTACCTGGGCTGTGACTACTTTGGAAAATTTGTTGTTATGGATTATTGCTATAAAGTTCAAGAAATTGATTTTGATCATACTTTGAAACTTTTAAGAAATTTTTGGGCAATTTTATTTTTTGTTTGCCATTGGTATGTTTTGGGGGTAAAGAAAAACAGTTGGGTGCATCATTGTAGCTAAAACCTCACTTTTTGCGCTTTGCTGGCCTCTTTAGGCCTTTTAAAATAAAATATTAAGCTGTTTGACTTCCTTATATCAGATAAGGCTCTTAACAGGTTGTTGGGGCAAAAAGGAATATCTGTAGGGGCAATAAGGAAAACTATCTGAATGCAAGTATTGCACGGGACTAGTATTCTTAGATTCTTCATCCAGATTGAGGAGTTCAGCAATTAAACAGTTTAGAGAACTGTGAGTGCCATGGCTGGAATTGGGTTGTTTTTGTCATTTTTATGCTACAGGTTTTTTACTTGAAGTGAGAATACCAGCAGTGAGAAAATCACAGCCATGCTGAATTCATTACTGCGGTAGTCACACAAAACCACGGATAAAATTTCAATAACTGCAGGCCACAGTTGAGTAAACAGTTGCACTGAAATTTAATTCCTGTTGACTTTTCCCCCATTCCTCGCCAGGGGCACATTCTGATTCCATAGTACAAAGACAACAGGGGTTACAGCTTTGATTAATGTAGGACAGTGGAAGAGAATTAGAACTGTAAAATATGTTAGAAGTCCCCAGAACACAAAGATATGGCTTTAAAAGGGCCTGGTATAAAAATGAGTTAATTATGCTGTGAGTTAAACTCAACGATAGAGGATTTTCCAGTTGCCCTAGTACCACTGATGAGATAGGGAGAGTTTAAAATAAATAAATGCAAACCTTTCCATGTTTGCTTCCTACGCCAACACTGATTACAAATTATAGCAAGTGCCCTTTGTAGAAAGTAGGGCTCTGACAAAGAGTCACTTCACTGTGGAACAGTGACTTCCGTACTGGGTTTGGTTTATAGGTTTGCTGTGCTGGATCCCAAACAGAATTTGTTTGAACAAATCGTCTAGTTGACAACCTGGAGAAATGGGAGGAATCAAGCTTTTCCATCTTCTCTTCTGAAAAATCAGAATATCTGGTGACCTTGGGCTACTAGTCCCTCAAGGGCAGCAGTTGTGTTCAGATGAATCACTGCTGAAGACAGGGAGCCCACAGCCTCCAGTTCACTGTAGTTCCCACCCAGCAGAGGGCTTCTGTGCCCTGTAGGTAGCGGAGCTGGTGGTTCTGGTTTGGAAAATGCACTCATCACTCAGAAGCCATGAGCCAAAGAGAGGTGCTGCTATTAGCTGGAGGAGCCTGCCAGAAATGCCTTCCTTCCTCAAAACGAACTGTGTTAGCTCTATAATGTTTCACCTCTATTTCTATCCAGGCCATGATACTATTATAACAATAGTTTTCTAATAATGTAATTTGATAGAGGCTGAACAGTTTCTTTTAGCCATTGAGTAATTCTTTACCCAAGATCATAACTGCTTTTTATTACGTCTGCCCCATCTCTATGTCTGTAAAAGTATTGGAGACACACAGCTCCATTCTGAATCTCAGCAATTACTAAAGTATTTTTTTCCTTAAAGAAAGGATTTTAAAATGTCCAGAGCAATTTCATAAACTGTGTAGATTAATGTGTTTTAAAAGTCTTGTATTTTAGAAAGCAGAATTTTATTTCCATATTGCTGCAAATGAGTGCTTTTTCAGATAAGCATATTACATAGAGCATAATGTTTAGAAGTTTCTCTGTATACAGCATATGCTGTCAGGTCAATTAACAGAATGCATACTAGAAAATGTTTATTCAATAAAAATGAATAGCTGTTAAATAAAACAGCTATTTCTTAACAACATTCTATTTAATGATGGGATTTTTTTCTGTTTTTTAATTTTTTTTTTTTTGGTACCACCTGGCAGTTTTATTGTTCGCAAGTCAGCACAAGGAGAACTTTGGTTGCTGTGATTTAGAGGTGTGCCTATCATTTTATATGAGGAGAGTGTTTTCAAGGGAATCTGTGAAAAAGACGTTAAAAAAAGATAAGCTGCATTTGGAATTTGGACACTTGTTATTTAGAAAGTGTAAGTAGATGAAGTATTTACTTCACATAGCTTCTATGACATTTGGATTAAAACGTTGGGCCTTTGTGTCTTAAAGAGAGAGTGCCTGTTTCAAGTTAATAATGTAAACAAAAGGAAGAAAATACTCAGGAATCAACAAGGAGCTAAGAGAAGTAGAAAGGAAGGGGAGCTGCTCTTGAGAAATAATGAGAGGAACAAGGAGGATCCAGTGGGGAGATTTTGTCAGTGAGCTATTGAAGGAGGCAAAATATTAATCGTTACATAGGACCCTAGAAGGTCGGAGAAAACAGGATGCACGCTGTAGGACTGAGGAAAAGAATACAGTTACGTTCATTTAAGGGGTGTGCTGTAAGTTTAGGACTAGAACAACCTGGAGTCATGTATGCATATCCAAAGGAATTGCACTTGGCTCTCTGTCTTCATGGGTTCCACATCCATAATTCAACCAATGGTAGATCTGAAATTTTTAGAAAAAGCTTGTATCTGTAGTGAACGTGTACAGACTTATCTCCTTGCCCTTTTTGCCTCTCCCACCACCTTTTTTGGCAGTACTGAGGTTTGAATTAAGGGCCTCTCACTGGCTAAGCAAGCTCTCTATCATTTGACTACTCCTCCAGTCCTTTTTTATGCTGGGTATTTTCAAGATAGGGTCTTGGGAACTATTTGCCTGGGCTGACTTCGAACCACGATCCTCCTAATCTCTGACTCCTGTGTAGCTAGGATTAAAGGCGAGAGCCACTTGGCTTGCCCTTATTCCCTAAATAACATAGTATAACAACTGTTTATACAGCATGTGTTTTGTATTAGGAATCATAAGTAAACTAGAAATTTAAAGTGGACAGGAGGTTATGATTTGGGTCTATATAAATATTGTATCATATCATATTAGGGACCCAGACATACCTGAGTTTTGATATCCTCAGAGAGTCATGAAACCAATTTCCCATGGATCTGAAT